TACTAAGAACCCCCACTACCACTAAGCCACACCCCCAGCTCCTTTCTTTGTGTTTTCAGTAGGATCTCACAAGCTCTTATTTTTTTAAAGTAAGTTTGGTCTTAATTATTGGAATTAAAATCAAGACAGTTTGATAAAAATGTGAGTCCAAAATTAACGAGCCGTTCTGTTTACATTCTGTAGTTTTTATTATTTATTTATTTATTTTTGAGACAGGGTCTGGCTAAAGGTTTAGGTTGCCCAGGATGAGCTTTAACTTGGAATCCTTCCACCTTAGATTCACAGTGTGCCAGAATTACAGGCATGTGCCACTGCACATTGAATTTTTATTATTTCACTGGACAGTTGAAATTTAAAAAGTAAAACAAAAAGGGGGGAGCCTGAAAAAATTAAGAAATATTTGATTTTTTTTTAGTGCACCTACTGTTCCTCCCCTATCCAGTTTCCTCAAAGTAGCCCAAAGATTTAAACTCCAATGAATTTCCACTATCAAGGATAAAATCCAAAATCCTCAGTGGTATACAAAGTACTTCTTCGTGTTGCTAACACCTACCTTAACTCCTTTTATGTGATTCCATACACTTTCAGGATTTCTGTGCTGGAGCTACTTTCAGTCCCAGAATAAGAATTCTCCTGAAGTGTAGGGAACTTCAGCTTTTTGTTCCTTCCTCTGAGAATGTTCTCTTTTGTACATTGGCACTCTCCTCCTTTGTCATTATACCAATTTTATTCATCCCTTAAGGGGGATTAAATTTCCTCAGGGTAATTTTCCTGCCCCACCTGCCTAGTAGGTCCCCGTGGTACCTTACATTCCCTTACAACCTTTACTACTATTGCAATTAATAACTCCCTAGGGACTTGGGCTCTCTTGTTAACCTCTGTGTCCCTAGTGCCTAGCAAAATACCCTCCCTCTCTGGATGTGGTGGTAATCACAGCTACTATGAGACTGATGTGGGAGGGTCACAAGTTCCAGACCAACTCAGCTAACTTTGTAAGACTCTGCCTCAAAAACAACAACAAAACCCCAAAATTCTCCAAAACATACAAAGGATTGGGGATGTTCCCTAGGTTCAATCCTGGGGGGGGGGAGTGAAGCAGGGAGGGAGGGAGGAAAGGGCAGGCAGACAGGCATGGGAAAGAAAAAAAGAACCCTAAACCCTCCCTATACTTTACTGGAATTCAATAAATATTTTGACTCAATTAGTTAATACCTTGGAATAAAAGAAACCAAACGACTGAGACTTCTGTGAGGAAAAAAAATACTGAAGAGACATTAACATCAGCTGCCTTAGTTTGAATACTAAGAAGTCCACACCACTAAAAGACATTCGTACTATCTAATGCAGTGTCTAAAGCTCCATCTATAGCAGCCAGAAACTTTTTACTAAACTCCTTTCTCTTGCCTTACACATTCAGTTAGTCGCAGTCCTGTACATTGTGCCTCCCTAGAATCTCCAGATCTGTTCACTTAACTCACTTAACTGCAGTGCTTGTAGTTTTAGTTGAGGTCACCATCGTCCTTTGCCTGGATTCATCCAAAAGCTGCCTTGTTCTTCCAGTCTGGGCACCTCTTTTTCCCACTTCAGCTGAAGGGATTTTTCTAAGATGCATAGCTTCTTTTAAAAATGTTTTTTATTTTATCCCCTTCCTTGAAGATATAGCACTAACTTCAGAACAGGTCTTACAAGTCTCATGGGGATTGAGGCACTAACCACTCCTTGGCTCTTCTCTCTGCTCTCTAAATTCTAGGCATCAGCCATACCAAATATTCAATTACACAACCACCACACTCTCTCTGCCTCCCGGACTTGGCACTTTCCCACTGTTTCTTCCTGGCCCATTCTTCCTCAATTTCCTGGCCTGGTCAATTATCCCTGTCACCAGTCATGTCTTTCACCCTTGTTCTGTTGGCGCATCATAGTGCCTGGTATATGGTGGTCTGGATGGTCAGCATGATATTCTTGGTTTACATGATGATGCTTATCCCCATTATTCTGGCAGGTCTTTGTATTTGATGTCGGACAGAAAACTTGGAAATCTTATGACTGGTCACAGATTACAACTGTGGCAGCTTTTGGAAAATATGACTCAGAACTCATGTGCTATGCTCATTCAAAAGGAGCCAGAGTAGTGCTAAAAGGTATTTTTTTAAACAGTTGTATGTATTCAGTTAATTGGTAAATTTACCTGTATCATTTGCTATAGTCCTTACTTTTAAAAAAAATTCTTTTTTGTGTTTATCTTTTTTTAAATCCCAAATTAATTTTCTTTTCTTTTTCTTTTTGGTACAGGGGATTGAATTTAGGACCTCACCCTTGCCAGGCAGGAACTGGGCTGCTGAACTACATCCCCCAGCACGAATTTCCAATACTATTAAATTCATTTCAAAAATCAAGATAATTTTTGAAAAATTAAATCACATTTTGAGCAAAATGTGACTGCCTAATTAGCATACTGACCTTTAGTTAGTCCACAATTTTTGCCTTTAATTTGGGAATAATCTTATTTTATCTATATTGGTAATTTTAGAAATTAGCAGGCAATGGCTTTCTCTTATTTATATTATTATTATATATTATATGTGCTGCTGAAGCGAGCACTATTATATATTATGTGTATTATATTATGTTCTCTGTTTGGGGATCAGGGGCTTAGTATTCCAAAATAATGAAATGTTTTAAAGACATTTTGATCTCTTTGAAAGTGGGTTTGTAAAATAAATGGGATTTAACTATGAAAAAAGCATATAGGTACAAAAATGTATATTTTTTCCATAGGAGATGTACCCTTAAAGAACATCATTGATCCTAATTTCAGAGCATCCTGGATAGCACAAAAACTTCACTTGGCTAAAACACAATATATGGATGGAATTAACATTGACATAGAGCAAGAAGTTATTTGTTCATCACCTGAATATGATGCATTAACAGCTTTGGTCAAAGAAACCACAGAGTCTTTTCATCATGAGATTGAGGGATCACAGGTAAAAACATTCATTTTTTTTCTTGGAAATTCTATATTTTCCCTATCAAAATGGTTTCATGAAGGTATGCAATCTTAGTTTTATAATAATGCAATAGGAAAGGATTTCAGGACCTATCTCCTAAACACTTTTTATAAATTTTAATGTTATTATTTAAGGAATTCTAAGGTGTAAAATTTGTCCTCTATTCACATCAGAATACAACACTGATATTTCACTGACTTGCATTTCGGCAGGAATTAGGCAAAGAAGTATTAGGCAATGAAGGCAGGAAGAACATGGAGGGCCTGATTTTCACCAATCAGGACAGAAATGACTCTTGCCTAAGAGTAGAGGTAATTCTGCAGAAGGTCCCACTTACCTCATGGTCTCTAAATTGCTTGCAGAGCACTCAAGGCCCCAAAAAGCTCAAAGGACTGATTCTGTAGAACCTGTTAGAGCTATGACAGACAATAGACATTGTGCTTTCTCATTGCTGCAATGAGCCTGATTACAGCAGATCACAGCAGGAGGCATCTTGCCAGGCAATGTGTAGGTAACAAAGGGTAGTGTGATTCCACATCATTGATTCTTTTTTTTTTTTTTTGGTACTGGGATTGAACTGGAGTCCTTGCGCTTGCTAGGCAGGTGGTGGAACCACTGAGCCAAATCCCCGGCCCCAGATCATTGATTCTTAAACCAGCCACATATTAAGATAATAAGGGGTCTCAAAAAGAATAGATAATTACATGTGCATACACATAAACACTGAGGAATCATTTCCAAAAATTATTATTAAGAAGGTTTTTGATGAACCTAGAGTTCATAATTAAAAAAAAATTCATAGATTATTATAATTAAGAACTACTAGGTTAGATATTGAGTGTTTTGAAAGCTAGGACCAGATCCACAATGTTTAAAATTTATTTGAGTATATGAATGATCCCTGCCTTTCAAGAATTTTAATATGGATAAGTAGGACAAATGAACACACACACATACACACACACACACACACACACACACACACACACACACCCTATATTTGCCCCTTGGTATTCCATGGGAGATTGGTTCGAAAACCCCATGTGGATACCAAAATCTGAAGATGTTCAAGTCCTGTACATAAAATGGCAAAGTATGCTCTAGATTACTTAAACCTAATACAATGTAAATATTGTATACTTATGTTTTTATGCTGTTGTTTAAACAATAAAGACAAAAGTATGTACATGCTCAGTGCAGACAGTTTTAAAAACTATTTTTATATAAATATATATGATTGATGACTATTACATTTATATATAATATTCATTCTAAGAGCATTATAAATACAACCAGTGATTCCTAAACCTATCCCAGAATCATGTGGGATTATTTGTTTAAAGTTTCTCAAAACTGATTCAGTAGGTCTGGGACAGAGCACAGGAAACTATAATTTTACCAAGTGCTCTAGGTGATTCTAGGATAGTTGATCATTATAAATAATGATGGGAGGACTCACATCGCTATGGTTTTATGCAGATGGGGAAGGTCTGTAAGATTGGAATGCGACTTTTCAGATCAGTACAGCATAGAAAAGGGTGGCAAATGCCTGGCATGCTGGCCGCCATACCCCTTTCCTCCTCACAATACCCCTCCCCTTTTGGTCTCAGGAATTTTCCTTTGTTCTCTTGGTAGCTATTACTAATAGGTTAAATTTGGTATGTGGGAAACAACTTATTTGCCAGTCCTCATTAAGCTATAGTGTAAGGGCAAGATCAATGAGATTGTATAGGAATACTGTATCTACTTTCAGCTAGGCGTGGTGGTACATGCTTGCAATCCCAACACTGGGAGACTGAGGCAGGAAGATTGCAAGTTTGAGCCTAGTTAGGAGGATTTAGCAATTTAGCAAGACCTTGTGTCAAAATACAAAATAAAGGGCTGGGGATTTAGTTCAGTGGTGACGCGCCTGCCTCACAAGCTCAAGGTCTTGAGTTTAAACCCTGGTACCAAATTAAAAAAAAATAAAAACAAAAAAGGGATGGGGATATAGTTTAGGATGATATCTGTGGATTCAATCTCCAGGACCAGAAAAAAACAACAAAAACTAAGGAGTATCTATTTTCATGTTTGAAGAGTGAGCAGAATAATTTGGGCTACCATGTCAGATTTCTATTAGGTGAATAAGTAGGAGGTACAGTTGCAAAACTAGTTGGGATTGTGGAAGATACAGAATATCAGGCTGGGGAATGTGCATTTTATTCTGTACATAATGGGTTACATGGGTAGACTCGCAAATATGGGAGATTATTCTATAGTGGTATAAAAAAACTGAAGGAGAAAGGAAGGCTACTAAGTATTTAGCCAACATCCTAGGAACTAGAGATTTATAGTTTGAATTAAGATAATGGCATAGCCCTGATACTCAGCAAGTGTTCCATAAATATTTGTTGAATTAGTTAATAGGAAGGAGCAAAACAAATGTGAGAGAACACTCTAAGGAAACTGTGAGATTAGATTTGGGGTATAAGGGAAGGAAAAAGTCAGAAAATGGCCCAAGATTTCTAAATGTAGCTAGAAAAAAAAATGACCAAAAAAGAAAACCTGGAGCAGGAAATGAGTTTTTGGGAAGAGTTGATGAATAAGTTTACAAAATTATGGTCAGAGAATTAAAGAGTTCGAAATGCCCCTGACGAGTCCTTTCTTTACTCTTATTTTCACAGGTTGGAAAACAGATTCAAATGCCTTAAGTGACATAGCAGTGATGTAGACCAAGTTATAACAGAGCCAAGAGAAGAACCCAAGTCTTTTGATTTCTTGCCTAATATACTAATACTACTATCTTAAAAATATTAACTTAAAAGATAAACTATGATAGGAAATTCAGGTGAAAATACTTTTAGCATTCAGGAGATAGGTATGGAATAACAAAATGGATTTGACATTTATCTGCTTAGAGATAGTCTTTTATGTTGTTATTATGATATAGCTTCCATTTTGATAGATGGGATTAGATAAATCCCATATGTAAGAATTTCACTTCACAGCCTATTTTGACATATAATCCATCTGACATGTGTGTTTGATCATTTTTCATAAAATTATATGTGTTTTTCCACAGATAACATTTGATGTAGCTTGGTCTATAGAGCATACACAGAAGGTAGAACTACTGAGAAAAGCTCATAAAGCTGAGCCTTCTTTAATACCAGTAGTGGAAAAATTATGGAGAGAATAGAAAAAGTCCTAAAAAGAGTTTTGCTACGATAAATTGGCCAAAGTATAAAATTTTACCTAAAGTATCTCATTTTTGGTAATTAATCAAGGAGTGTTTATTAAATGCCTAGTTAAGTAAAAAACTCTTTAATGACGTTTTAGAACATTTCTACAAATTAAAATAAGGCTTGTTAATGTTTAGTTAAGGCAATAAAAATATTTTAAAGAAACTCGTATTGAATTCTGGCTCACCATTCAAAATGAAAGATAATATATTACTTGAGTTTTAATATTTCCATAAAATAGACCATTTAAAATTATTTATTCAACATCTTAAATTGATTAATTTATACCTGTGGTCCATAACACACCAGTTTTCTAACTGTAATATTGGGCTAAGACTACCCTGTAGTATAATTGTGAGTCAGAGGCTCATTTAATCCAGTCAGGCTGTGACAACAGGAGACTTACTAATCTGCACAGATCTTTAACAACTTTTGCATTTGATCTCTTTGTAGAGTGCAGTTTCCACTTGTTCAGAGGCCCCACCACACTCAAATGTCATTATACCTACTTTCATTGAGTTGAATTACCAACTGAGCCTCTGAAGACATTTGGGTTTAAACCCCCTTCTTTTGTATACACAATGTCTAAATACATGCCTCGGCCAGTCCAGTGTAGTAAAAAACAAATTTCTTAGAACTGTTCTAGTTCTATCTGTGTCAAACTTTACATTTATAAACTATAAGTAATCCTTTTTTTCTTGAGTAGTATGAGGCAAAAAAAAAAAAATAGAAAACCCATCTGATGTAATATGCATATTTGATCATGTTACATGAAATTACACATGTTTTCCCACAGGTAACATTTGATGTAGCTTGGTCTCCAAAGAACATAGACAGAAGATGCTATAATTATACTGGAATTGCAGATGCTTCTGACTTTCTCTTTGTGATGTCTTATGATGAACAAAGTCAGATCTGGTCAGAATGTATTGCAGCAGCCAATGCTCCCTATAATCAGACATTATCTGGTAAGAATTCACAAGATTCATTAATATTAATTTCAGAACCTCAAACATCAAGTTATCTTTTAATATGTTTGTTATTTTTATACCTTTTCCATTTGTATAGCTTACTTTAAACATCTAAAAATAATTCTTGGAAACAGCCAATTTGCCCATCAGTTGGAAACTGGATAAAGAAGATGTGGGTTTTCTATAAAATGGAATATTACTCAGCCATAAAGAATGAGAAATTAGATTCAATCATTGGAAAATGGATACATATTGAGGATATATTCCTAAGTGAAATAAATAAGTCACACATGTGTAAATACCGAATAGTTTCTCTGGTGTGAATAAACTATAATAGTACACAAGATCCTAATGATATTATGGACAATGTGAAATAGGAAGAAAGGGGCTAAATGTGTAGGGAAAGTGGGAAAGGGAGGGGAAAGCTAATAAGGGAAAAGAAAAAAATATGAGAAAATGAAAAAGTGGAAATGAAGTGTTTGTAAAGGGGGAGGGGAAGAGGGGGTGAAGGGAGGGCAGGGACAAGGGGAAAAAAATAAGAACCAAGACCTGTTATGTAAAGGTACAAGATCCCAATAATGAACATAACTGTACTGTATACCTAAAATGTACCAATAAACTCAATAAGGAAAATAAATAAATTTTAAAAAATCATTGAATTTGGAGAGTTTACAAAAATGTAAACTTTAATGTTTACAAAAAGTTTGAAGTTTTCTTTTAATTCTTCTAATAATCATATGGGATATATAGGTATATAGTTATCATTAACTCTCTTCTATATCAGAGATTAAAAGATTTTAAACTATAAGTATTATGTATAGCAGGATTCAAAAGGATATTTTAACTTCAAGTACAGCACTGTTGTCATGAGATCATATGAAAAAAATTTATCTAGAATTCAATGAGATATTTTTGTTAAAATAATCAATGTTAAATACTTTAATAGCAAAGATAATTATGTGTACCTACCATACAACCTAGCAGGGTTGGCTTTATTTTATCTAATATTAGTTCTGATATTAAAAATTATATTCCTATTAGAATTAAGAGTACTTCTGGCTTGTTAACATATGATGTGGTCTTTGCATTCAAGTTTGGATTGGTTTGTATCTTATCAATTGAACAAAAGATTGGTTGCTATATTTTGGACTCAGCTGAAATTTCTGAGACACTTGGTTTTGATTCAATGAACTGATTTATAAATAAATTTTTTTCATACAGAGGTAAAATATTAGAATCTGGCTTCATTTTATGACATCCCAATTGTTTGGATAAAATAGTCTGATCATGAACATACACTATTTAAATTTGAACAGTAATATTCTATTAAAGTTGCAAAATTATTTAATTCTGAGTTCTCAAACTTTCATGAGGTGTTCTCTTAATAAAAGGTTCATTATCAAATATGTTGGGGAAATGAAGCATACTATTCCCAGTTTGGGGATTTTAACAGTGCAGAATAGTATTAAAAGACTCTGCAAACCAATGAACTTATTTAATTCAATAGTTAAGATAACTTAGGAGTATCTCTTTTGTATATGTGCTGCCGAAGTGAGCACTAGGAGTATCTCTTTTGGTAGAAAAAACATGTTTTGTAGCACTGAGCTAAAAAAGGATTGATAGTACAAGTATTTGTTAATTTTTATCTGTATCCTGCAAGATATTTCTATTACCTACTTTGAATAAGAAAGGTATTTCTTATCCACAGCTGTCATTAGGATACTAATAGGTTATATGTAAAACATGGAGCACCATGTGCTTTCTATCACAAATTCTGATTGCATCACTGCCAGAATGCTTAAGATTTGTATAACTTTTTTGAAACTTTAGAATCTAGATACTAAATATATCATGTCTTAATAGCTAATAAAATTAACATGCTTTCCTGAAATGTGTTTTTCCTTTAATTATATTTTTATGAATTTTTTATAATAATTTCAATTCTTTTTTATGAAAAAAGTGGTTTAGAAAGTAAGATATGGGTTTATAGTTCTTTAGGGATGACTTTTATAATACTATATTAGAGAAACTGAGTATTTGGCATCAATGTAACTGTTTAGATTTTGAATAGTTGGATAGTTTTTATGAACACATTTACAGATATATGAAGAAAAAAATATGTTTTTATATCCTTACTTGACTAGGATATAGTGACTACATCAAGATGGGCATTAACCCTAAGAAACTTGTAATGGGTGTTCCGTGGTATGGTTATGATTATCACTGCCTGAACCTATCTGAGGTAAGAATAGGTCTTTTGTCATGTAATCTTCTCCCCCATTATACATTTTTATGTCTCCTTTTATTTCACTGGGAATGTATAAATTCTATTTAGGATTTTTTTTTTCTTTTTCTTTTTTGGGGGATAGAACTCAGGACCGTGTGCTTCCAAGGCAAGTGGTGGAACCATTGAACTAAATCCCCAGCCCCTATTTAGGGCTTTGAAATGTAGTTTGAGACTAAATTTTTATTTATTTTTAATTAGTCCAGTAGAAGCTTTTGAATGTTATATTTTCATTTAATAATAAATTTTATTTAAAAAATTTTCCTGCATAATTAGGTTATTTTTGGTAGCATATATTTCATTTCTAACAAATAGTTTTTTATTATGTTTTTTATTTGGCTCTTATGATGTGCTTGGTAATGTATAACATGAACATTTTTGCATTTCTAGGATCATGTTTGTACCATTGCAAAAGTCCCTTTCCGGGGGGCTCCTTGTAGTGATGCTGCAGGACGACAAGTACCCTATAAAATAATCATGAAGCAAATAAATAGTTCTGTTTCTGGAAGCCAGTGGAATAAAGATCAGGAGGCTCCTTATTATAATTATAAAGTAAGAATTTCCACAAATATTATGAACATTTATTCTATTAGTTGTCATAACTGTATTTTCATAATTGGATATTTGGTATTAAGGGTTTCTGTCAGTTTTCTTTTAGAGCATAACATACAGACAGCTGTTTTTATGAGTAAATTGTCTTTGAATCTATGTAATCAGAAACTTTAGTACTCTGGGGAGCAATTCAAATAATGCTCATTCAAATACAATACTCTGCTTGGGCCACTTCATTTTAGATGATGCTATAAAAACATATACATCACAAACAGGACTTCCTTAATAGTTAACAATTAGGTTATGATGATTTGCTTTGAAAGGGCTTTGGGCCAAAATAGGTTATTAGCTCTAAAGGCCTCCATTTCAAAATATCCTGAAGATTCTGATGATCTCTTGGATAGGGAGGAATGAATTTGAGAACAGATGAATTAGCACTCATTTTACAATGAAAAACTATCATTTCAAAATTACTTCATAATTGAGACAAATAATATTAAAAGTAGGAGACAGAAAAATATAGAAGGAATTGGGGAAAAACAAACAAATATTTTTCATAATTCACCTGTAGCATAATTAAAACTTTTCATACTTCAAAAATCTAAAGAATAAATAATCTTTGACTTTGCTTTAAATTATGTAACTTTAAAAGGAATCCTGAAATGGTATAAATTAATTTGAGGAAGATTTATATTCTTGACTAGTGATCCAATACTCATGTATAAAAAATGTAAACATACTACTATATAAAAACTATACTATATGTTTATTTGCCTATATATTAACTATATAGTAGGCTTTAGTGTGAGCTTTCTAAACTTCAGAGATGAAAATAAATAGAACGTTCTGGAACTGTTAATATTACACACATATACATGTGTGTACAAATATACACATGTACCATAGCCAAGTGTACTTAGAAAACACTATATAATGTATGTCCCTCTTGGAGATTTCTAATATGCAACACTACAGAAAAGGATTTGAGAAGTGCTGCAATGAATAAAGCCATTTAGTTAACAAAGAACCTATTTCACAGCACTCTTAGAAATAGATAAGAACAGTATTTCATGCATATAGTTTGGTAAAGGTTATGGTAGCCAAGTACATATAATTTAGAAATATTTAATATGAAATAATAGTGTACACTAGGATGTACTGTTTTAATCTATTTTTTCCTTGTTGAGTGAGGTGAAGGAACAAATTAATATTTTAAACAAAAAAATTTTAATTGACAAGACAAATTTATATATATTGTGTGCAAATAATGTTTGGATATATTCGTATACTGTTGAATGGCTAACTCAAGGTATTTATAATATGTATTACTTTACAAACTTATTATTTATGGTGAAAACACTTAATACCTACTCTTAGCCATTTTCAAATATATAATGCATTGATTTTTACTATAGTTGTAATGGTATACTAGATCTCTTGAACTTATTCCTCCTCACTGAAATGCTGTGTCCTTTGACCAACATCTCCTATTCTCCCTCCTCATAACCTCATATAACCACCATTTTCATCTTTCTAACATGAAGAAGCATGTTCTTTCTCAAGAGTAAAGTATGTATATTTTATGTCCTAGACAAATCATTTTTAAGATATATTTTTATATTAATTGTATATATCAATGGGTTTCAATGTGCTCTTTCAAGACATGAATAGTATGCACTGATCAAATCAGGGTAAGTAGTATTTCTCCCATGTTTGGAGCCCTTTAGCTCATCTTTTCCAGATCTTTCTAAAATATATAATATGTTATTATAAACCATTGTCTTCTCTCTCTGCTGTGAAACACCAGAACTTACTCCTTCTACTCACTTTTTTGTGGTCACAGAATGAGGAAACATTCTGGGGACCCTTGAAGGACATTTAATGGCACTTTAGAAAACAGTGTAGATATAACTATTTTGTTCCTCTGATTTATCCATTGTAAAATTCTTGGGTTTCTCTTGTGTTTGAAGAGAGTCCTCTGCCTTATATACTGTTTCACCAATAGTAGTTTTATCTTGGATTCAATACTTTGGAAGGTATTAGGTTTGCTTAAACCATGCTTAGATCAGTATTTACCCATTGATTCGTCACTATTTAGAGATACTTGAAAATTTCCTAACAATATCACAAAAGCTCAGAGTACTAGCTAGAATGATAGCAGATGGAGTATGGCTCTGCTCCGTACTCTTAAAAAGTCATTCATATGTAGAAGTGCTACAAATTGCCTTTTAATAGTGAGATCACAACAGTTCATAGAGTATGCAGAGCTTTGTCTGTATTTTTAAATGTTAATAGGATACTGATATAGGGTGAGATATGCTTGTATGTAATTAATCTATTACATTTAAATGTGCCACAGCTTATTCATTTATTAATAAGTATTTTTCTCTGGGAGTCCTATCATAAAGCAGCATATAAATGGCTTTCATTCAAAATTTCCTTTAAGAAGTTTCCCAGATGTATATAAAAATCAGTAAATTATATTTAGCCATGGGTCCTTCTGTTTTGGCCACCTATATTTTTTTGTATTTCCTTAATTTTTTTTTTTTTTTGCCTAGATATGCTCTTTCTTTTATCCTTTAACCAGTAGCTGGAGTGTTTATTGACTTAAGATGTGTACAGGATAGAAGGTGCATATAAGAGAAACTAGTTTATAGTTCTTATTCAGGTATGTGTTAATCACACATGGAGTCAACTATAACAGCCTCTTAGAATCACGATTGTAACACCTAGAAAGGTATTAGAGGATTTTCCTTCTCCATTGTCGTTACCTTTTGATTTGGCTGATTTATTGTAAACAAAATCATCTGTTCAGCTCCTAGCTAGGCACACTTCCAGGAACTGTAACAAACATAAGAAAAGTACATAAGCTGATTTTAGCGGACCAGAGCAGTGATTTCTTCTTAACTTTGGTTGCACATCAGAGTTACCAAATGGAATTAACACAAAGCGAAAAACAAATATATGACCTAGCATCAACACTAGAGGGTTTTATGTGGTGTAGTATCTAGGAATCTGTATTTTTCAAGATCTGCAATGATTCAGATGTACATGTTGGTTGAGAATTATTGCACCAGATCAAGGAAAGAATCATAGGACATGAGTAAGGCCTTAAGTAGAATACATTAGGAAGCTCATTCATATAATATTTATTGTTAGAAGTACCATAAACAATAGAATGTATAAAATCATGGAATAATAGAGCGGGAAAATAATGTGCTATAAAATTTTTATTTTTTCATTGTAACCTTTTGAGTCATTGGAATTAAACTTTTCCTCCTCTTACTGTACTTTTAATTTCCATTTTAATTTATTTTTATAGGATCCTGCTGGTCATTTTCATCAAGTGTGGTATGATAACCCTCAGAGCATTTCTTTAAAGGCAGCATATATGCAAAACTATGGCTTACGGGGCATTGGTATGTGGAATGCAGACTGTCTTGACTACTCTGGAGATGCTGTAGCCAAACAGCAAACTGAAGAAATGTGGAAAGCCTTAAAGCCAAAGCTGTGACAGAGATGATCTTTTATCAAACTATTAAGATAGAGAAAATCTATCTGTATAAATAAATCTAGTACACTGTCTTGAAGAGATAAAAAATATAAATTTTTGTCATGTTATTATATATTTTAGTATACTCAAAAAAAGATATAAGTGCTTTGATTGAATTTGAAAACATGTTTTTATCAAAAATATCCAGGTACATACAGGCAAGACACTAGTCAACATACTATATTAAGTGTTCTTCTGTAAGACATGTGAACACTAAATAGGAAAAAAAATGCTTTCAAATTTTTATTATGCCAAATTTCCACCTCTGCTATTAAAATTCACCTACACAAATCAGTGATGATTAAAATAAGCATGAAACTTAAGCAGAAATTGTTGGTTTAGAAGAAATTGTTTTAAAACCTAGCCCTTGAGAGGCAATTTGGTTTGTATTTTTTCCAATTAATTTTAAATTTGAAGCCTGGAGGGGCTGGGGATTTATTTCAGCAGTTCGGTGGCCTGCCTCGCAAGTGATCCGAGTTCAACCCCCGATACAAAAACAAAAAACAAAAAACTTGAAGCCTGGAATGTCTCTTCTTCAGGTTCACAAATTGATGAAAATAGTTTTTCTGCTTCCTGACTCCATTCTAATATGTACTTGCATTCTCTGAGGTACTTAATCTAAAGTCACTTAAACCTCCAGGCAGTTAGTGAGAAAACAAAAGAAATACAAAGAATTAAATGTATTGACAAAATACAAGAAGATGACTTAGTAATATTCTAAATTAGTATTAGTGCTACTTAATTATTTCCCAATCAAATTATTTCATGAGGCTTATCTGCAAACTTTTTTTTTTTCCTTTTTCGGGTACCAGGAATCAAACTTGGCACCTTGCACTCAATGGCGCAGCGCCACTGAGCTAAATCCCTGACCCTATCTGCATACTTTTTTACAATAGGAATAAATTGGTATTGAACTTGATTCTACTCACTGTCATTTACACTTTATTAATATTCCTTTGTTTATGAGCATTTATAATTTATTAGGAAGATTTCATGGTTAAATTTTATTTTTTATATCTGCATTTTACTTTTAATTATCTAAAGATTATTTTCTTAACTAGTTATTTCTAAAAGATTAATTTTCTGCAAAAAACTTTTATAAATGTAAAGAAGTCCCTGTTCTCTTTGTCAAGGCAATTAACATTTTGTTGCCTTTACACATATTTCTTCCTGAAAATATATAGATTAAAATTTTTAATTCTTGAACTCTAGATTTTCATAAATCCAGTCTTTCCCACACATTGTCCCTCATTGTAATAAATAATGATTCAGTCATGTTATGAGAATATTATATTTCCTAATATTAACCATCCACATATTATGCGTGTGTGTGTGTGTATTTTTTTTTGTGGAGATCAAACTCAGGACCTTGTGCTTGAGAGGGAGGTGGCAGAACCACTGAGCTAAATGCCTGGCCCTGTGTATGTATATTTTTATACACAAACACAATATACATTATGTGAGTATCTGTGTGTGTGTGTGTGTGTGTGTGTGTGTGTGTGTACTTTTTTATGATACTGAGTTATATCTCCAGCCTCTTTTAATTTTTTGAGACAAGATTTCTTTATGTTGCTAAGTTGCCCAGTTTGGGCTCAAACTTGTGGTCCTCTTGTCTCTGTCTCCTAAGGTGCTAGGATTGTAGGCATGTAGCACTACATCAGTCTAGTATATAACTGTATCTGTTGAATTATTTTATTTTTCTAAAATAGTCACCTTATATTTCTAAATTATTTTATTTATGTTTATAAAATAAGTTGATAAAAATTTAAATTGTATACTAATCTCACAGAGTGCATATAATTGTTTTTAATCAAGGTACAATGAAAAAATTAACTATATTTTCATGCTAATATATTAGTATTTATTAAAACAATTTTCTTTGTTTAGATTTTACAATCATACTGACTTAAATTTTAAGATTATTGATAAAAAATTACTATAAAATATAGTATAGTAATAGACTTGAAATATTAAAAATAAAAAGCCATTCTTTTATGTTATATCTAATTATTTCCTCTAAAACATTCTGTAATACCCACATTAAAAGTAAAGGCAGATGATTTATATAAAGATTAACACGGAGAATTGTCCAAATAAATATTTAAATTTTTTGACAAATAAGTTAAATTGACATACCTAATAGAGATTGAAAAGATGGACTAATTTTCTTCTGTGCCAGTTCAGTTTTCAATGTTCGTAAATCTGAAACTGCTTGTTTTCTCATCTGTAAAAAGAATTACTTTTCAAAAATGACCTTCATCTTATCCTTCCAAAAGTACATTGTGTTGTCAGTTTAAAAAATGTTTAATAAGTATGCTTATCTAATCTGATGTTTTATGAGATAATTTCTTTTATTGATATACAAGGAAAATCCATATTGAACTGTCCTCAAAACATACTGTATCAAATAAGTAAAGTGTGGCCAGAACTCTTTATTAAGGGTCTACTATACAAAAACGTGCTACTGAAAGTTAAATATAGGAGTCTCCACCCTAAGGAAAACTTAATATCTGGTAGATGATCCTTGATTCACATTAAAAACAAATAAAATATGTGTGACAATAATTAGAAAGAATGAGATAATTATACAGGAGAGGAGACAATATTAAATTTAGAGGAGAATATTAACTTTAGAGGAGAACTCAGGTTTGTTAGACATTTTGAATGACTAATACTGCAAAATTTAAAATATTGAGATTATTTCACAGGGTCTTTTTGCTTTTAACTGGGTTTAAAAATGTTACTAAATTGTCCACTGGACTTACTATAACATGTATCTTATCACAGAACTTAGGTTTTCTTGTATTATTTTCATTCCAGTTCATTATTGTTAAAGTAATAATTTTGTCAATCCTGAATACCCTTATACTATCAACAGCCAAATCAAAATACTAAAATATTTTACTTCAAAATGAATTTATAACCTAATTAGGAAAAATATAAATTACCTTAACTTCTATTATGAGTTTCATTTTATCAGTATCCAGTTTTCTCTTGAGCTGGTCAATTGCATGCTGTACCTCAGTGATCTGGATTATAAGGTAATTCTGTGTGAGTCATAGAAAGATACTTATTTAGTATAACATCTACACATTTTTATGGGAGGCATTGTGTACCTCTTTCTAAACATAAATCATAAAGTGATAAATGTTAAAACCACAAATCATAAAAGTATTCTATTCCTTAAACTCATTGCTTGGTATTGTTATAGTTTAGATCTAAAATATACTTCAGAGACTCTTGTGTTCAGAGATGGGGCTTTTGGAAGGTAATTGGATCGTGGTGGTTACGGGGGGATTCATCCACTGATGGGTCCTCGGCTGAATGTTGTGTTCAGAGTTGGAGCCATATTGGAGGAGGTAGATTACTGGGATTGTTCATGGTGGGTATATCTCTTTCTCAGACTCCTCTTCCCTTTCTCTGCTCCCTGCTGCCATGGTTTGAATAGCCTCCCTCCATCAGGCCCTTTGATGGTGGCATTTCTGCCTAGGAGTCAGCTGATAATGGACTGAATTCTCTGAAATCATGAACCAATATGAAATTCTTTAAGTTGTGGATGTCATATATTTTGTCCAGCAGTAATAAAGCTGTCAGATACTACTTTTTACTGATTTCTTGAACTTAGGGGCTACTTTATCTATCATTACCCATTTATTATTTTTTAAATAGATATATGTAAAAGTTACCATTAAATTAGTACCATAAAAATAAGTAACTATTATTATAAACTGAATAAAGTAGGTTTAAGATAATCAAGTTCAGAAATTGGCAAAATGCTTTCATTAGTTGACTCTGACAGAGTTTAAAAATATTTAATAATGTAACATATCTTATACATTAAAATATGGATTTTTTTTTTTTAGTTACTTTTCTCCAGAAAAATTTTGAGGTATAGTGGTCTTACTAAAGACGTGGTTTTGTTTTTTTCTATTTTGTGGGGATTGAATCTAGGGCCTACTACATGTGAGGTCAGCACTCTACTATATCCCAACCCAAGAAATTATTTAAGAATTTTACTTTATGCAAAAATTGTTACATTGGATGATAAGACAACATGATAAAGTGTCAGTTATGCTTTTAAAAAATCAAATAATATTTACAAATTTTTTTAGCTGATTTGGCTGTTACATTAAATTTAACCAAAACAGTAATTTAAAAATATTTTACCATGTCTAAAGTTAAACCTTTACACAATCATAATAAACATGTTTTAAATGTTTTTGGATAGTATGATCAACTTAATGAAAAATCAAACAAATTGTTTTTGTCTTGTTTACTATATGGTGGAATTAAAATGAAATAAACTGATCTAAGATTTGAGAAAAACTGATACAAATTTCTTTCGCATATCAATACTTTTAAATTCTGTGGGCATTATAATCCCTAACCTTAAAAAAAAAAAAAAAAAAAAAAGGACTGTAATGAACATTGTTAAACCCCTTTCTTACATCATCTGGTATTTAGCTCTCTCATAGTCAGGAGATATGGCCCTATCCTCACACACTGAGGAAGGACATGGGGATAACTCCATTACATACTTTTTTAGTATTATGAAGTCTAAAATTCTAGTCTAAGTGCATAGCATTCCTTGGCAATTACTATTAGCCCAGTGTTAGGTCTGGTTGACCTCCTAGACAGCTAGAAGTTTATATATTCCATGATTCTAGAAATTTCTCTCTTGTTTTGGAGACACATAGCCCTATTTGCCATTGGTAACTCTAGTGCTATTATGAGAAAACATAGCCTTATAATGAAGCCAACACTAAAAATAATAGGAAATGGAATGCACTAAGGCCCTTAAAGACATCATTAACCTGTGTCTGTATCTCCTCAGCAGTCCTCCCATTATATGATGTCAGGAATTTTGTAACTGTCTAGGCAAATTTAAATCAATGTTTTGTTACCTGCAGCCTAAAGCAAACTGAACATAACACTAACAGTTATTAAGAATGTAATTTTAACATAACTTTTCTAGCAGAAGGGAAATGCATTTAGTAAGACCTTGGAGTCTGCAATGTTTGCCAGATTCTTTGGTTTCATTTTGATCTCCCTGGCTTCAAGTTGCATAAGCAATTTTTTATAGTAAAGTTCCAAATCTTCTCGAAGTTTTGTTAAAATCTCCTCCAATGATGCTGTGATTTTCTTTGCTTCAAAGTATTTTTTCTTCCAACCATCACAGGCTACAGAAAAAAACAAAATAGAAACAAACAAATAACAAATAAGGGCTAGGCTGAGAATGGTTAAAGGATTAAAAGTATCAATGTGGAAAGAACCCTGAGTTAATGCCAATTTAAACCATTTTTCTCCTTTTCTCCTCTATTTCTTAAATCCTTAAATACATTTCAAGCAATGGAGTAATTTTTATTTCATAATAAAATAAATCACTGAGAAAAATAGTAAAATATATC